TATCCCTGGCGCTTCTTGGTCCGAAGAGAAGCAGGGCAAGCTATGGGATGACAATCTCAGCATACCCGAGCCGAAGCAGGAGCAATCTGGCCAGGACGTCTACTTCGAGCTCCTCCATCTGCAGCCTATGCAGATCGATCTGTCGTTCGTCCGAACAGAGCGTATCAACGCCGAAGACACCATGAGCACTTCGAACCCGTTCATGTTCGCCGTCAATGTTCTCACCATGTCAATCGGCAACGTCAACGATGCGCCAGTACGATACAACTCTTTGATGCTGGAGAACGCACGCATCTCGACGACTGCGTTGATCAACAACATCAAGAACCATTACGTGCAAGAGTCGCTGCGACAAGTGCACGTCATCATCGGGTCCGCCGACTTCCTTGGTAACCCAGTTGGTCTGTTCAACAACATCAGTTCTGGTGTTGCAGACATCTTCTACGAGCCGTATCAGGGTCTCGTTAAATCAGATCGACCTGAAGATCTTGGTATTGGTATCGCGAAGGGTGCATCAAGTTTCGTCAAGAAGTCCGTGTTCGGATTCTCAGACAGTATGGCCAAGTTCACTGGCAGTATGTCAAAGGGTCTCTCTGCGGCCACCTTGGACAAAGAATTCCAGGACCAGCGTCGCATGTCGCGGTCTCGCAACAGGCCTAAGCACGCGCTCTACGGCATCACTTCTGGCGGTAATGCCTTCGCCAGCAGTCTCGCCAGTGGTCTTGGTGGTCTCGCCCGCCACCCCATCCAAGGAGCTGAGAAGGAAGGCGCTCTTGGCTTCGTCAAGGGAGTTGGCAAAGGACTGTTGGGTGTACCTACCAAGGCTGCCATCGGAGCCTTTGATCTTGCCTCCAACATGGCAGAAGGTGTGCGCAACACGACCACCGTCTTCGACCAAGAAGGTCTGGACCGCGTGCGCCTCACGCGTTTCATCGGTACAGACGGTATTGTGCGCCCCTACTCTCAACGCGAAGCGCTCGGTCAGTTCTGGCTGAAGACACTTGATAACGGCAAGTACTTCAACGAAGACTACATTGCGCATCTTGAGTTGCAAAACAAGGAGATGCTTGTCATGCTCACATACAACGGCCTTATGATGGTGCGCACAAAGAAGCTGCAGACTGAATGGGATGTACCGCTCAAGGACGTTCAGACCATCAGCAAGGAGAGGACAGGACTGGGTATCACGCTCAAGGGAGGCACGAACGGGCCTTTCATCCCGGTTAGTGATGAGGAGAGTAGGAACTGGTTCTACCGACAGGTTGCTGTTGGTGTTAATGCTTATAATGACCGGTGGAACGCGAAGGGCTGATTGAGATGGGAAATGAGGGAGCAGAAGGGAAGGTATAATGAGGTTTATGAGTACATGGCATAGCGTGGTTTTGGTATGAGTTTGCGGTTTCGATTGGACTCCTATAATGTATACTCTTTCTATCAATCAGACCTTTTTTTCTTAACGAAATTAAGCAGCATGATGGTGCGTCATCTCCAGGTCGACTTGTCAGTATGGCCGGTCTGGAGCGAGGCTGGGCCGAATTATAATCGAACTGATAACATGGCGGGTGAAAGCCCCACCGCGTAACGGCACATTTTGTCTCATGGTGACAGCTCCTTCGCGTTATTTACGGGTCGCGGCACCGTTGCGGCCCACTACAAGCAAGGATCACGATTGCGATGCCGAAGCATGGCCGGCGATGATGAAAAGCATGCATGACGTCAGACTGGCGTCGCGCGTCAACTTGCGGGGGAAGCTTGTAGCTGGAATCGCAAATACTATCTAACCCTATCTTCTCTTGTCTTCTCCCCAAGATACCCAGCTCGTGCTTTGTGTACATTACGAAAACCGCGTTGTGCATCTCTCTTGCTTTTCCCTACCGCATCTTACACACCTACCCGCTAATCTAATATGCTTCGCAACGGAGCGTCGCGCCTCGCGCTGAGGTCCGTAGCAGCGCCCCAGTCGGCACGCCCGGCTGCGAGCTTCACCCGCACAACACCTTCTCTGCAACGGGCAACACAATTTGGTTCTCTGGCCGCGCGGAGACCGCAATTAGCAAAAGCGGCTGCTGCGCGATTGAAGCCTGTGTCTGCGGTCTTGCGCCGCAGTATGGCTGATAAGACGTTGACGGAAGGGCAGAAGCAGGCAGAGAGCAGATATGCGCACGAGAGGATTAAGCCTACGCCCGAGACTGTGACGAGTACTAGTTCGACGCATCCTATGTTTTCGGAGGTGGGCACCGAGCAGCCGCAGAATGAGGTTGATATGGCGGCGGGGTTGAAGCATGATGTGGTATGTATACCAATTTCTCTTTCACGTGGTAGTCTAGGTATAGCTACTGACGACCACCAGGGCACAATCAAAGAAACATTCTCCCTCGCCGAAGTCCCTCGTGAAGCATACTACATGGGTCTCGCCGGCACGCTTCCCTACCTCGCAACCTCCATCTCCACCGTGTACCTCTCCTGGGAACTAAACCACTCAACCGCTGGCTACGGCATGATCTTCTCTCAAAAAGACGCTACATACCTCCTTTCCCTCATCGAGCCTTTGCAAATCGGATACGGAGCGTCTATCCTGAGTTTCCTCGGCGCTATCCACTGGGGTCTCGAATGGGCAGGCTACGGAGGCACTCAGGGCTACAAGCGCTATGCGATTGGTGTTGTGGCGCCAATGGTAGCATGGTCAACACTGCTCATGCCCATTGAAGGCGCGCTCATCTCGCAATTCTTGGGTTTCGTTGGATTGTACTATGTTGATACTCGTATGTCCTTCCCCTTTCCCCCCTCTCCCTTCACCCGTCCCAATAACCTATACTAACACAACACACAGGCGTAAGCCGCCTTGGCTGGACACCCAACTGGTACGCCGTATACCGCTTCGTCCTCACCGCCATCGTCGGAGCCAGTATCGTCCTCACTCTCATCAGCCGTAGCGAGCTACCCGAACATATCCCTGGTCCTGTTGACCGCGAAAAGGTTTTTAAGGAAGAGGGTTCCAGCGAGGAGAAACTGGCGAAGCATGAGCATGCGGCTGTGGAGAAGAAGAAGAACGCTGCACGTAGCGACAACAGGGGTGAGAAATAAGCGTGTGTGAGTGGGAGGGCTTGGAGCTTTTACTTTGCGGCAACGAGGCGTTCCTGGCGAGGAACTCGTGGTTCTGTTTTTTGGGGCTTGTGTATATAGTTGAGTACCCTGCTATGGCGTGTGATATTTGGAACGAAACTATCCTGTTATTCGACTCGCTTGTTGGTCGCGTGAGCTGTGATTGCAAGTATTGCGCCTGTTCTGGAGTCTGTCCAGCAGCGCTTTCTGGCCCAGACTCATTATATTGACAGACAGAATACCCAGTCATTGTGCATCTTCATGGGTATCGCGTACTGGAAAGTGTCCATGTCAGCAAAGCAAGAGTAGGCGCGAAATGTGAAATACCCATAGTCGGGTTATTTCCCTCCACCTCGCGTGCCAATGGCAACTGTGGCACCTCCGCCCTTGGCTCCGCATCGCGCACATGCGCCGATCGTCATCGCTCCCACCTGTCCCCAACCCTCAACCCACCAACCCTCTCCTCCAACGCACACACACACAGCCTTCTACTTCAACCATGCTATAACCACCCTCAATCGCATCGCCGCCCCTTTACCCTCTCAACCCAACGCGACAATGATCTCCTCGGGCTTCACCAACGCGCCCGTAACGCAATTCCTCGTCTTCGGCACCGTCATTGGCGCGCTGCTGGCCGCGATTACAGATTCGAGATTCTATCTGCATATTCAGGTTGTGCCGCATTTGTGGCAGTATGGGCAGTTTTGGAGGTGTGGGGTTTGGACGGTATGTCTATTCTCGCTCTAGAGAGGAAGAGAAGAGAAGACGGATGGATGAAGAGGATGCTAACGTGAGATGACAGCTGAGTTTCACAAATTCGACAGAAGTTCTCTTCGCAGTCTTGACATTCTACCAACTTCGCGTTGTGGAAAGGATTTGGGGGAGTAGGAAGTTCGCTGTATGTATCCCTCTTCCATCCATCCAACCCCCCATACCCAGCGCATCCAAGCTAACAAAACCACAGTCCTTCCTCTTCTCCACCCTCCCCTACACAACCCTCCTTCCGCCCCTCATCCTCACCTTCATCCTCCGCCCCCTCACCTTCGGTCGTATGAACTACCTCCCCGCCGGCCCAACCCCCCTCCTCTTCGCCCTCCTCGCAAACTACTACGCCGCAATCCCGTCCACCTACCGCTACAAAATCTCTCCCTGGGCCGCCGACTCGCCTTCTCAACAATCCTTCTACACGCGTTCTATAACGCTGACTTCGAAATCGCTATCTTATCTTCCCCCCTTACAACTCGCGCTATCACAGTTTCCAGGGTCGTTACTAGCGGCGGCGGTGGGGTGGGGCGTGGGCACGGCGTATAGGCGCGATGTGCTGCCGGGTGCAGCGAGGTGGAGGGTGCCTGGGTGGGTTGTGGGCGAGGAGAAGAAAGGGGGGTTTGAGGGGCTGAGAGCGAGGTTGGAGGACGAGAGGGAGAGGGAGGGCGGTGGGGCGGGATTGGCGACGGGAATACTGGCGGAGGGGACCGGGGAGGCCAGGCAGAGGAGGACGTTGGGGGATGTGGTTGCTGAGCAGTTCAGGGGGAGGGGGTAGACTGGGGCGGCAACATACCACGGGGGTATCAGTCGATTTGGGATTCGCTGTGTTTTAGATATGAGGGATCATGATTTACTTCACTTATGTGTTATGGAAAGAGATCTGAGGATGGGTGATGTTATTATGTGTTATAATGCCGATATGCTCGACTAGTGATACAGTTTCCTCCTCTTCTGCCCTCTAGACAGACGGATAAAAGACGGATGTAGACGCGAAGCAAAGCCGCAATCTCAAATATGTCCCTCCCACGCTATTGAATGACCTCCTCGCGGAGTATACTGTCTTCCTTCTTGAACGCCGTTGTCAAAACCCACAAAAACGGATTAGGCCGTACAATCATTAAAAACCAAAGGAACTAACGCAGAGAGAAGACCGAATCCCTCGACCCCTTCCCACCCCTCATCTTACTCATAAAATCCTCCGTACTCTCCTTTGCATTAAACAAAAAGTCCTTCTCCGCAGACACAGGATGACTGTTCAGCGCACTCGAAGGCGTAGGCGTAGGTCTACGGCTTCGATGCTGACCCGTTGTACTACTACTCCTCGTGCGCTTCGGCGCGAGCGCGCTGTTAGGAGGCGCAACAGCAGGAGGATTTGACCCGGCGTCAAAACGCTGCGATGTCTGGATCCCCTGGGCTTGAATCTCCTGAGCCATGACTTGAGAGTGAGTCAAACGATCGAGACTGCGCCACCATTGGTCCTTGGCTTTCCGTGGATCTACCTCGCTGGTTAGATCGAGTGTAGAGGCATTAGAGACAGGGGAGTAGGCAGGGGGTGGGGTGGTGGATTCCCACCCTGGAGCCATGGAATGTCGGTTTGTTTGGGGGGTGCGCACGTCGACGGAGGAGCGGTGACGTGGTGAGGTGCGTTGGGGGTGCTCTGTTGAATGCTCTGTGGTTCGGTGTCTGCTGCTGCTGCGTACGGGCACATGAGGGGAGGCCTCTCGAGTGGAGTGGTGGCGGCCTAGGGAACTGCCGGGGGTGTTGGTAGTACTAGGAACGTAGCTTGAGGATGGGCGTTGGTCGTTTGCTCGGCTTGACGGTCTACGCGGGCGGTATAAACCTCGTAGACCGTCTGGTTGGCGGTCAGGAGCCTGAGGGGCAACTGTATGCGATCGTGGTGGGGAAATTTCTGCTGCATCCATCAAGGACAGCGGACGAGGCTGGTCGATTTGGCGAACGTGCTCACGGCGCCTTGAGGGAGTGGCAGACCTATCATCTGCTACGATGGAAGGGACCTGTTGCTGGTGGGTCGTAGGAACTGCGGGAACTTCTTCTGGCGTCGGAGAAAGAGACGCATCGCGTAGTGCCTTCAGGGATACTGCAGACATGCGCTCACTCAAATCACGAGCAGACCGTCGTCGCTCTTCCTTGAGATCAAGGAACTTCTTCGACCGTTCTGACGGCGTAAACGACATAATCGACGCGCTGCTGTGCTTGGCTTGCGGCGATTCAGGCTGGCTGTAGTAATCCGAGTCGAAGTGCGATGTAGACGGCCGAGACTCGTCCACACTGAAGACACGAAGTGGGAACTTGCCAGGGCTGTTGACGAGCGTGCTAGCGGGGGAATGGCTTTCTATAGCCATGACTCGCTGTTTGATTTGCTTGAGTTCTTCCGAAAGCAACTCCTTCTCTTCCTCCATCTTGATGATGTGCTCGGCAGCTTCTTCGATGGCGAGCTCGTGATCTGTCCAGTGTGCCGCGCTCTCACTTGCTATAGTGGTGAGCTCGATGTTGGTCTTCCGATGCTCCTCATTGATTTCTCGCAGCTTCGATATCTCTTCGTCCATCTTTTCCATTTTGAGCCGGAGTTGCCTGTTCTCCGCATTCAGCTCGTAGTTCTGGTCCTCTAGTGGTTCAAGTCGTTCGACTTGTTCTTTGGCGGCCGTCAAATTTTGCTGCAGCACCCGGTTGTCCTTGTGCAGCAATTCCACTCGCATGTTGGCAGTCATGAGCGTCTGTTTCAGCTTGTCGATCTCGTCTGTGAGTTCTCGACTCGTCCTTGACTGCGGTGGACCAGCATTGCTAGGCCGTCGTCGTCGGATGGGCGAAACGGGGGTCGTTTGTTCTTCCGTAAGGGCGAATTGATCGAAGATATCAGGCGAAGTCTTGGGTGTACATATCTCTGGAACCTTCTGCGCTGGTGGTGGGGGCACTTTGATATCCTGAGGTGAAGGAGTAGGCGTACCCTGTGCCCTCCGTGCTTGCAGCGCATGCCGTAGGTATTCTGATTTCGGCGCGAGGGAGTTTGATCGAGAAAGCGTAGGTCTGGTCCGGTCGGGGGTAGACGGCCTATAGTCTATCCCACGCGAGGAACCATATGATGAAGAGGTGTTCGACATGTTGGTGTGGAGTTCCGGTGATTGACTGCGTCCGGCAGTATTATAGGTAGAGTTGCAGTGTTCTCAGGCCAGTAGAAACAAGCCTTTGTTCGCGAGAGAAAGGTGGTGGTCGACAATGCGATTGTATAGTCCAAGTCCTGTGCGCGAACAATGTATGCGCCTCCAGTTCTAGCAATCGTCGCGCGACCAAGATGGGTAATATCGTGTAGTCGGTCGGATAGGTGTAGGGCGAGATATTACGTAGGGTATGCGAATCGAAGGTGAGGTTTGCGCCTATGCGAGGGTTGTTGATAGCAACGGCGCTTGAACGGTCGCGTCGCGTGCGAAGATGGGTGGATAGTCGCTCGAAAGCGGGTCGTTCTTGGGGTCCATTCGCGCTATGGCAGGGACAATGCTACCGTCGACGTATTGCGCAACTGTTGGCGTCCTGGGTTGTCGTGGTAAAAGAAAATGAGCGGTGAAAGTAGTCGAGTGCACGTTGCTGGGATCGCGTAGATTGCTTCGATTGTGACTTCACGGCAGGCGCATTCACTGGCGGAATTGGAAGGAGGAAGTGAAGAGGCGGTAGTATTAGAGAGACTTGTGCGCGTGAAGAGGACTCGAAAATCACGAATTGTCTCAGGGATAGCGAACAGTCGCGTCGGGCAGCAACTCTCGATGGACGCGGAAGGGAGGGCCAGAAGGAAAGACTTGGCCCAGAGAGGGCAAGTGAGAAGGGGCACGGCGGGAGCCCTTGGCCGGCGCGACCCAGCACAGCGGTTTGCACGTCGCGTCAAGACTTCCTATTCGTGCTTTTGGGAGATGAGTGGGGATGAACCTGGCACAGCCCCTGGCGTGGACGACTTGACGAGTGCGGTTCCTGGGATGGCTGCATGAGCGACGCATGTCGTCACAGGAAACATCACGAACGAGACAATGCGATTGCGGGGGATTGTGACCATTGTGATGACTGTCTCGAGGCGTGCTCTGCTTTGCCCTACGATACCTTCAGCATTCACAAAAAGAAACAACACATAGTGCGAAACCGCCTGCGAACCCGAGTGCGGCGCAGTGTGGCGCGTTCCCCGACCATCCAGACTATGCTCAGTAGCGCTGCCTCCAACGCAGGTCAGTCCTGTCGTTCGTCGGTCGTCGCCGAGGTGATTTGTGATGAGGCACACGACAATGTCCAGGTCTCCGTTGTCTCCTAGCTTTTGCCTTGTGTTTTCTTTTTCTCCCAGATCTGCGACCGAGTTGATGTAGTCTACCACGATTTCAGTCCTCCATCCAAGATCTCTTCCGACTCGGCCTTGTCCCTGCTGTGTCGCCGTCAACCTGCATACTTCAGCTGTCAAGCTCAGGCCTCAACCTTCATGTTGCCCAAGCATTCGGGCTCCCCTCCGACAAGCGATCGCCCGGCATAATGTCGGAGCAACACTGTCATTCCGGCATTTTTTGCTTGCTAGCTGCCTTCTTGGTGGTTTTGTCACGTCGCAAGTAGACGGTGAATTGCTGACTTAATTGCTTGGCCGAACCCTGTGCCCCGCTGCTCTGCATGTGGGGCTCAAGAGAGAAAGTTTATGTCTATCGTGAAATATTAAAGATATACAAATAGTGTGTGGCCTCCTGCATGTGGGGAGCGGGGGACGGTGATCATTCCATCTCCACTGCCATGCCAGCCTGTCGCAGTCGGTCCTCCCACTCGACGCGCAACCTCTCCATCTCCTCCCAGCACTTCCTGCCAGTGTCTGTGAAGCGCTCTTGGCTCTCCTTGGTCAGGTCTTTGGCGTACGGATCCCGACCCTTCCTCTTGTACTCTCCCAGCTTGCCTCCCCATCCCCATCCTGCCACCTCAGTGCGATCTACACGCTCCTGGCCCCAAACATCCGCGGCGCTTCCCCACTTTCCTACGCCTTCCTTTGCCTCCATGTTGTCCAGTGTACTTTGACTTGCAAGCGCCAGCCAAACCATAGCAGTCGCGCCCTTGTCGACCGATATGGTATGCCAATCGCTGCCGAGGAGGCGCGCTATGTAGAAGGCCGCAACCATGGCCCATTGGAGTATGAGGGGAAGGGGTACAATCGAAGTGGCGCAGATGCCTGGGTGTGTAACGTAGAGCCGTGGCTTCGTGGTCTTTTCCGTGCCTTGGGCGTGCTCGAGGTACTGGTCGACAGGCTCCGTGGTTGAAGGTAATCTAGAGGTGATGGCCAGGACATCTGTCAGCCTCTTCGTAGCCTCGTATGGCATGTGCGACGTGATGCCTTGTATGTCTTCTGTGTCGAATACGTGCTCGTACGCCTCCAAGCTGCTGACCCAAATCATCCTGCCCCTTGTGCCCTCGTTCCTGGGATGTTTCGCCAGTAAGGGTGCGAGGTAGTGTCCTAGCAGATAGTGCCCAAAGACATTGGCGCAGAAGACCTCGCCTAAAGGAGGCTCCTTGTCCGTCTTCTTGTCCGCAGGTATTTGTTCCTTTGCAAGCCATTCACGACCAGAGATCTTGTACGTCGGCCAGGTGGTGGCCTGCAACCACTTTGTGCAGACCGACCAAATGGCGCGCGGCCAGTCAATACCCGTCCACCCGCCTATACCAGCGTTGCAAATGACTGCATCGAGCTTTGGTGTTGTTTCCCGCAGTTTCTTGCTCAGCTTCTGTACAGAGACTAGACTCAGTAGGTCCAGTCGCTCCTGCCGGAAATATACGCGATTCTGCAGCACCTGTGCAATGCCCGGTAGCTTCTGTTCATGGCTGCGAATGACTTTGCGCAGATGCTGTTCTAGCTTCTCAATTGTCGCGTCGCCTTTCCGTTGGTCGCGTGTCGTGATGATGAGGACGAGGGATTCGTTCTGGGGGCGCGTCTGTAGGAATTCGTCGATCAGGCGGGTTCCGATACCAAGCCCAAGGCCGCTATACACGGGTCAATTAACGTTGTCTAGAGAAATAGGGGATTTTCAAACCTATTTGCGCCCGTGACGAGAACATAAAAGCCATCGTCGGGTGTGGGAATGTCTTCGAGACGCGACATATTGGCTGACGTGATGGAGGATGAGCGATGCCTGTTCCTGAATTCGCTACGGCAGAAGGCGCGCTTTGACCAATCACGACCTACATCACTTCTGAGCACGACTTTTGGTTGGACAATTCACGTATGCATGTTTTGAGCCTCTAGACAAAGTTTTTTGCGACTATTCAGCATGAAAATATGACTGCCATGTATCAACTGCAAGTTTGAACAGAATGCAAATGTGAAGTGAAACGTGGGTATCATAGGATGAAAGCGCAATACCGAGATGGAGATCACTTGTGTCGATAGTCTAACATGGACTGTTTCTATCGTGCTCTGGATCCTGAGATCATCTCTGGTGCATATGTTAGTCTTCAATTGGCTTTCCATACGCGGATACCAACTTCACTGCACCACTGAAACCCAGTATGCTACTAAAGCAGTTTGAAGACCCGAGTAACAACAGCATCTTTCTGCGGGAAAGGACTTTCCCCCCTCTAGCCTCCTCAAAAATGCACTTCCAAAGTTGTAGCAATTCAATAGTCGACCGGTTCATATCAACCTGACTTGAGCCACCGCCTGTGGCTCTCGAGCAAACAAAGTTTACGACTTTACACGGCGCCCCATCCCCCACATTGACCTCGTCACGAGACAATCAAACAACCAAACGAACCCGTCCCACACAGCGGACGGAAATAACTCAACACTTTTGCACTTGAGATAAACTCTTCAAACTCTATTGCTGATGTGGGTTCAACATTGCATTATCTCGCTTTCGTTCCTCGTCACGATACCACACTCCTTGTAGCAACCTAGGTAGCGCAGTTGATGCGCAAAGTCCAGTATGCCAGGATGTACCATGTGTAAACCAAGGGATCCACGACATGGACTTACGCGCATACGTAGGTATGACAGACAGTTTGTGTCATACACTTATTCGGATATCTGAAAAACCGTCCGCTGATCATGTGTATGTGACCCCAGACACGAGTCTGAGGAAGCCAAGACGGCGTGCGTGTGCTGGGTAAGGAATGCATACGTAGACAAGACTGCTGTCGTCAGCTTTGTAACCCCCATGCCTGCTGCCCCAGATCAACATATTCGTCAAGGATATTTGCACGGCATCTCGGTAGGCTTGGCGGTGCGGTGCAGTGCGTGGCAGGGTCCTGGCGGAATGTCGCGGATATGCAATACCTTGTAGGTGATTGTTCACATGAACCCAACCCTGTCTGTAAGTCAGCCTTACCGCCATCAACGCCGCTCGCGTCCTGAGCGAAGTGACTATCGGTGAAAACGCCGAGATACGGCAAAGACGTGATCACCCGCCGCCTCACAGCACGACAGTCTTTCGTACATATGCTTCCGAGGGTCCGACCGACGCTTGAGATTCGTCCGTAGTCGGGCTGTCCTTGCTACACCTACAGGGAGGGGATGTGGGGCCTGTTTGCGGTAAGACCACGCGGTTGACATCGTCAGGTCAGGTATGAACTTCATACATTGCTTTCTTTGCAGCGGCCCAACCCCAGAACAGGGCTGACGAGATTAGTGATCACCTGTTCCAAAACTCGTATCAGTGTTATTGACAAATCATGCCTATGCTGATCCCGTTTGTTCGAGCTATTGGGGTAGGGACTGCGAGGTTATACAGAACATTGTGCGTTACCAACCGGATGGTGAAGCGGAGGTTGAAAGTATATGGCCGAGTAAGGCCCGCCGTCTCGACGCGCCAAAGAGGCATATCGTCGGTTTATGCCGGTTATCAGATTGTGGAAGCAGAAGCGACGAGCCGGATTGGGGGTCAATGTAAGTGTTGCTGAACAGGAGCCAATCTTGACCAAATCTAGACCCGAATATACTTTGCGTCTGTTCTGTATAGCGAGCTGTCTCCGCGCGCGCCCACGAGCGTGGAAACAATGCTAAACCTCCGAAAGGCGATCCACGACTAGCTCTGCAGTCGTTATGCACGTCATACCTGTAGCCTTTTAGCTGCGTCTCAGATCGTGCTAGTGAAAAAGGCCA